TGTCCATGGCCCTTCCGACTGTCCATGGACCTTCCTACTGTCCATGGACCTTCCGACTGTCCATGGACCTTCCGACTGTCCATGGACCTTCCGACTGTCCATGGATCTTCCGACTGTCAATGGACCTTCTGACTGTCCATGGACCTTCCGACTGTCCATGGACCTTCCGACTGTCCATGGACCTTCCGACTGTCCATGGACCTTCCGACTGTCCATGGACCTTCCGACTGTCTATAACTCACTCTCCTACTCACCCACCGACCCACTCACTCAGAAGTCAACACTTTTTTTGAATATATTTTCTAATTTCTCTTTCTGTTTGCGCCGTTAAAAGATCAATTTAATTTTTTAATTTTATAGTGAGCTCCAATAATAATGCTAGGCAATTAGAAATTGAGTTAAGTGAAGCAAAATTGATAATAACTCAATTGAAAAAAACTGTGAGGGAGAGGGAAGCAATCATTTTAAAATATCAAGCCGCACTGCAACTTTTCCTGGAAATTCCCCAGATTCTCCCTAGGGTCCAGGATAATGAAGCGAGTGATGTTCTACAAATCTCAGGTGATGCCTCTGAAATTATTTACTTTCATATTTTTTTTATTTCATTCAATATTATTTAATTTTATTCTTACAAGAGAAGATGCGTCAACATCTCCCGGGGACGATAACATGCATGTAGAAACGGCTCAGGTGCATGGTCGTTTTAGTGAGCAGTTTTATTCGTTTATAGAGTCCTCAATCAATGAAAATCAAATAAATGAGTCTTTGTATGACACTTCATCAAACGAGGATGAGTCCGTTTCTACAGGGGATTCGGTAAAAGCGCTTTATATTTACACTTCTATATTATATCTATCTATTATACACTTCTTTATATCTTCTTTTATTACAGTCTCATTCTGCTCCAGACACTGAGGAGATTCCTGCCTCGATTGTGGATCAACGTCCAAGTCAACAAAGTATGTGAAGTGAAAACAATCATTAACAATAATGATTATTTATTTTTATATTATTTTAATAAATCTTTCTGAAGATCTTCCCCAAGATACTGAGGGTGTGGAGACTCATATTCCTCAACTCACTGAAGTGAACTCTCAAGAGGTGTCTGGCTCGATTGTGGAACAACGTCCAGTTCAACAAAGTATGTGAAATGAAAACAATCATTATTATTTTTACATTATTTTTCTTTAGGAACCAGACGAAATGCCAGAGTGTCTGCCGACCGACGAATACAGTTACTCTTAACATCCACTGACGATCAGGATGACGAAAATTATACTCCCCGTCAGACTAAGACAAAAAAGAAAAAGCAACAGGGAAAGCTGTCAGAAAGTATAAGAAGAGAATTAAAGAGTTTACGGCGCTCTATTAATGAACTAAAAATTCTCTATGGGGGAGTGTTAGACACATTAAGAGAAATGAGAGATAATGAATAAAAAGATCTAAATATAAAGATCTGCATCATTAAAATCTATAAACGTTCTTTTTTTATTTTATAGTAAATTATGAATCATCATTAAATTTGTTCTTAGGTACGGAACATTTGCATTTTCTTTTTGCTGTAACTTCTCTTAGGTACCAAATATAGAAAAAAAATTATTTTCAAGTGTAAACTTTGAACCATACTGAAATTGTTTCTTGGAATCACTTGACATTTTGTCAGTTGATTTCATGTTTAATCAATAATTCAAAAATTTAAAGCGGGATTATTATAATTAACATAAGACATAACATAACTTACTTTCATAAAATAAAATGATTTCTGAAAAGTGAAATCTTAGGTACGAAACATTTTATTTATTTTTTTCATTAAACAAAAAAGTTTGAATACCATTCGAAAGATGGCATACACTTTAGTTACTAAAGCCGAAATATTGGCTCTCGTAGATATCATTAAACCTGTAAAAATTGATTTTTTTGAAAAATATTGTAACACACAATTTGTTATGTGACATACAATGTGTAACATACATTGTGTTTACATTGTTTGTAAAATATGTCCACAAAGTGATCCTGAAATAGCTCGTTGATAATCGTCCAAAGCGGCATTACTTATCAGCCATGGCATAAGCACAACGCTTCCATCAATCACGATGTGGATTTCCTTCAATTGGCATTTTAATATCTTTAGGACCTTCAGATGAATCCATGTTGGGATCATGAAACAGTCGCCAGCCTACAAGTATAGCAGCTTGCCATGGTTGTTCACAATGTTCACATAGACTTTGCGCTTCATCAACTTTTCCCTGGCGAATGGCGTTGAAAACATGTCGTGTTAGACGCTTTTGATCCTCAGTATCCAGATCATGAAGTGGCAATTTTTCACGATGAGGCGCATCAGGATCCAAACTTTTAACTATCTCTCGTTGACTTCCAAACATTGTTCGACCAACATTCTAGTAAAATAAATAAATATTAGAAATGTACAAAATTATAATAGATATGAACTTACCTGGAGTTGATGTAAAGTATTCTCCCATGCCATTGAACTTCGGTCGGTATAGTGAGCGACCTGGTCCTCATATTGGTCAGAAGATGTCTGTTCCACAATCAATTGATGTTCACGAAGAGTTGAGTTGTCTAAAAAAAGATTTCTCTAAACAATATAAATTTTAAAATCAATAGAAACTTTACTTAGGTATGTAATAAATGCTCAACAACAATCTTTTCACTGTTAACAAGAGATTATTTTATTTTGTTTCAAAATTATCTCGGGGCTATAACAACGTTAAATGACAATTATCTGATGGATCTTGATGAAAAAAAAAAAATATTCAGTCATTCTTGAATTTGCTTCCTAAATTCTTCCAGTTCATCATCCTCGCTTGAGGTATCAGCAGATCTTACAATTTTCCTCCTTTTTGCACCATTCTTAAGATTTCTCGCTTTCCGCCTTTTTTGTTTCAACATCATTTCAGCAATCTCCAGTTCATCAACTTCTGACGCTTCTTGATGATCTTCATTGTCATCGACAATAAAAGAATTAAGTTCCCAATCATCTTCTTGAGGTTCTTGAGAATAAATGTCGTAATTAACTGGCTTTACTGGCAGTTCCGGAATCTTGAACTTTCCAAACTTCCTTGTTGAAGGGCTTTTAATGCTTTGAAGATATTTTGCATGCATATCAATACCATTCTCATTATCTGAGTCTGAAGAGTCTTCAATATTTTCATTTGCAATAAATCCGTTCAGTGTTTCATTTTCGCTATCATCAGAAGAGTCCGTGCCGTCAGCAGCAGCTTGCGTATCGAGATAATGATTTTTCATTTTCTTTTTGCTAATTTTCTTTTTGATTGGCAAAGAAAATGTACTTTCGTTATGATTACTTGCATCGAATGATTCAAGTCTTGTCTTGGCAGATTTTTTTCTTTTTACACATCTTTGAATTTGTGTTTGACTTTGATAGTAAGTTAATGGTGAAGTTGGAAAGTCTGCTAAACTATTTCTTTTCGGACTATCGTTCTTGAACTTGCACAAGTTTTCAGAAGGCGATGGCGACAAAAAATTCGACGTTTTCAAAGCATTTAATAATTTGGATATATTTGGTTTAGGCTTTTCTTCAAAACCTTTCTTCGGCGATGGACTATTGATGATGGTAACGAAATTTACGTTTAAAACATTTTCTTTATCAGGTGAAGACTTCAAATTTATGATTTCTTCTTTATTGTCACCGTCATTATTGAAATTGTAGATTTCAGTTTTTCCAGAACTGTCACTGCTCGGCAGAATCTCAATATTTTTCTCCAAATCCAATGACGATGTATTACTACAAGCAAAAATTTCATCAAGATCAAAGTCATAACTTTTTTTGCTTTCGCTTTTTTCTTTTGTCTCTTCTTCATTCGAAACATCATCGACAATTGATGATTCTATAATAATCTCGTCTTCGAATAGCTCAGGTTCTATCGTAACTGAAGCTGGGTCATCTTTTATTTTATCAATATCATCATCATTATCAATGCCTTCAAAAATATCATCAATTGAGGTACATCCGAAGAACTCCAAAGCACTTAGTTTAATCCAACCTTTCGATTGACTCATATGAGAAGTCTCAGGTTGAACGACACTAGACATTGATGAATTTTCCAATCCTTTGCTTGAAACTGAAGACTTTTCATTAACAATAGGTGTTAATGTGAACATATCTCTTTGCCTTTGAAATGCTTTCAGAAGAGGAGAATTCTCAAATGAATTCTTAAATTTCTTCCGTTTCGTTTTCTCAGCAGTTAATGGTGTTGAAGAAAAAATTGTGTTGTTAAGAATATTGTTGATAGGAAGAAAACTTGAACTTTTGAATGGCGTGTTGAAAGGTTCAGGAATTGAAAATTGACTTCGATATCGACTTTCATTCTCCAAATACTGACATTCTTGAGATGTTTTAAATAATGAGAAATCTTCTTTACTATTGCGATGAAGTTCAAACTCAAATGGATTTGACAATTCAAGAATATTCTCTAATTCACAATTTGTTAAATTCAAAGATGATTCTGTGCTGTTTTGTGATAATAAAAGTTTCAAAATATTTTCCATCTTGTTTACATGCTTCTCACTATTGCTTCGAAGTTGCTCAACAACAAGTTTATTCAAATGCGCTTCATCCAATATCAATTTCACTTGTTGTCTAAATTCTTTTTTAATTGTGTCGAATTCATTTTCAAAGTTTATTATTGTTGCGATTTTATCTTCACTGCTGCTGCCATTTGTAGAAATTGTTGTTTGATGTTCTACAGCATCCATCTCAGTAATCATAGGATTTGTCGATTTCTCCTTTGGCTTAAAATGATTAGCAATAGTCGTCGTTGCTGTAGCTGCTTTTGATGAAGATTTTGTAAACTTTTTCTTTGTTGCTTTTGATTCAGTTTCAATTTGTATTTCAGGAATTTTAATTTTTGTTTCGATGCACTTGGGCATGAAATTACCAGGAACGAGACGAGGTGAGTTTCGATAAAGATTTTTACTGATTTCTTTGTTAGAATGAATACTTTTGTTGAGTTTATCTTTTGATCCAATTACTTCTTTTATGACGTCTTCTTCTCTGCCTTCAGATGCTAAGATTATGACTTTTCCATTGCGCTTTCGTCCCGTTCGACCGATTCTTTGAACAAATCTCGTAGGATTCTTGGAGCTTATATCGAAACAAATCACTAAGTCAACTTCACCAACGTCAATTCCCTCTTCACATACACTTGTTGTTACAAGAACATTCACTTTATTTGATCGAAACTCTTTCATCACTTGCAATTGATCTTTTTGCGAAACTGCTCCACCTTGTCCTATCAACATTCGTGGCTGTACTGTTGGACGCATTTGCAAAAGCATCACATAAATCATATTCACTGTTTCTCTGTATTCACAGAATACAATGCTCTTCGATCCACCATTAGCAAAATAGTCGTTTAGTTTACTCTTGAGTATATCAAACTTTGGATGTCCGAAATTTAAGTCCTTGTAAATTGGTGGAATTTCTCCATTAGGCAATGAATGAATATTCATAGAGAGCGGATTGGAGTCTTTAAAGTTTTTATTTAACACTTCAAGAAACAGTTTTAAGTTATTGTCTTGGGACACAAAATACTTCATTTTCGTAACGTTGTCTTCGTCTTTGAATGAATTTAGAAATATAAAAAGTCCATGACGTTCCAGAAGATCCAAACTATAAAGCAAACTTACTGATATAGAAAAGAGTTTAGTTATTTCACTTTTTTGTGGATGGTTTTGCATTTGAAACTTTTTCTGTTGAATTACAATCCAGCCTTTGTTAAAATTGTTTCCACTGATTGCTTTGTATTCGACGAGTTTTCGAAGATATGGATCTGTGATTTTTAAATATTCATCACGTATTTCTGTTAACTCTGCCAGTTTAATTTTGACAACATCTATTTCCTTTGAGTAAACATACTGCTTAACATCAACAGAATTTTCACTTCGTACTTCAATCTTTGATATCAAAAGATTGTTGATAATCTCGATGACATCTTCAGCCTTTCCTGGAGTCGCACTAAGTGCAATCACTCGAAACTTTTGATTAATTGCATGTATTCGTTTGATAACTTCGCAATAGGCAAATTTTCCCTTAGCTTTGTGAGCCTCGTCAACACAAATTAATCTGATCGAGTTGATAGGAAACTCTGGATCATTAATGTCATTTTGAATGACTTGAGGGGTTGCAAAGAAAACTCGTTTGCTCTTCCAAAGCTCAAGTCTTTTATTTCTAGCACTTTTTCCAGTTAATTCAACTGTCTCCTCTGGTGGTATTCCCACAATTTGGTAACAGGCATTAATTTGCTGGCTAACGAGAGGACGGGAATGTGCCTAAGAGAAGCAATATATTCATATGTATTGAAAATACTTTGTTTCACTTGTAATCTTACCATAAATATGATTTTACAACGAGGAAACCAGCGGTAGAAGTTGTAAATTACTACTGATGCGATAAATGTTTTACCCAATCCAGTTGGAAGGCACACCAAACAGTTTGTAAAAAGACACGATCGTGAAATGTTGAGCTGATATTCTCGCTTTTCGTATCCCACAGGAAATATCCACGAATTTCCAGCGTTCTCATCAAAATCTTCATAAGTATTCATTTTATGATCTTTAACTTTGTTTGTACTACCATTTTTGTTGAACACTTCACTTAAAATAACAAAACATACGAACATTATTTGAGAATCAAAAATAATTTTTTTTTCTCTAAAAATTAAAACTTACTTTAACCATTCGTCATCTTCATCACTCAGCTGATCAATAATGGCAGATAAGTCATTATTTAAGTGCTGTTTCTTAGATGTTGAAGGTTCTCCGCAGGATGATTCCATGAATATTTTTGTTTTGATTGTTTGCTATTTTGATGGGTGAAGAAAAAACATCGAAATATTAAGTAAAGATAGAATTATTTATTATGCCAATTACTTAATATGTCATTAATATTTACCTACTTAAAATATCTTACAAACAAGCTAAACATTTAGTTGTCGTAGATTATTTTGGCTTATTTATTAAAACTTAAAAAAATGTTCTCTTTTGTTTGTACTTATTCGCTATGCTGCAAGATAAATGTTGAAGCTGAGCGTAAACTGAGCGAGAACGTTCATAAGACATGTCACACAAAATATTCATATTTTATCGAAAACAATCAAAATTGTTGTTTTCATATCTTCTAAAAGGAGAGAAACATTAAAAATAAAAGTAAAATTTAAATGTCTTATATTTTTTATGCTCTTTGAACTATTCTTACGATCACAGTTATTGATAATATGACATTGTTCAGGAAGTTCCCTTTGGACTTTTCCGGATAAACATCAAAAAGATAATTTGAAAAATCTCTGAAAAAAATTTTAAGCAAATGATTTGACAATGTTTAAATTACCAAAAAATGTTAGTCGCTATGGAGCATCATATTGTCGTTCCTTTAGTGACAACTATGGCATCTTACCGGATAGTGCAAGAGTTGTTATAGCAGGTAAAATAATTTTTTACTTTATTTTTCTAAAAATATTTTAAAGATGATTTTATTTCACATTAGGTTCAGGAGTTGTTGCTAATTCAGTGGCTTATCATTTAACGAAGAATGGATGGAAAGACATTTTAATTCTTGAACAAAACACGCTGCAATCTGGAACATCTCAATATTGTACTGGGCTGATTGGTTTGTTCAAACCTGAAGGCATGAGAAGGGTGATTCTAGAAAGTGTACGGACATATATAGAACTAGAACAACAGGGATATGACGTTGGTTTGAGGCAATGTGGTTCTATTGCTGTTGCACAAACTCAAGATCGGATGATCGCTTTAAAACGAAGAATGAGTTATAACAAACCCAACGGCTTAAATTGCGAATTCGTAACTCCAGAACAAATCAAAGAAATTCATCCTTATCTAAATGTTGATGATTTAAGAGGAGGCATTTATGTGCCAGAAGATTCTGTTGCTGATCCTACTGCTTTAAGCAATGCTTTAATTGATATCGCAAAGAAAAGTGGCGTGAAATATCGAGAACAATGTCAGGTGCAGTTAGTTCAAATTGATTCGAGAGATAAAATCGTAGGAGTTGAAACTAATTCTGGAATAGTGAAGTGTGAATATTTTGTGAATTGTGCTGGAATGTGGTCAAGAGATTTAGGATTGAAATGCAAAAAACCAGTTAGGATTCCAGCATATGCTGCTGAACATTACTATGCAATTACTAGTGGGATGGAACTTCCAATTGATAAAACTTTACCATGCATTCGCGATTATGATTCTGCAAGTTACAATCGTCAATTCAACCGTGAATTGTTGATTGGTTGGTTTGAGCCTGAAGCTCGATCTGCATTCATTGGAAAAGGAAAAGTGCCACAGAATTGGATGAAAAATATTCGAGAAGATCTTCCACATTTTGATCGGCATTGGGATATCGCTATCCAACGTTTGCCAAGTCTTCAAAATCAATCGCCTTATGTTTCAAACACACCCGACAGTTTCACTCCAGATGGCCGCTGGATTCTTGGAGAATCTCCTGAAGTTGAAAATTATTATGTTGCTGTTGGAACAAATGGAAATTCGATTCAAGGTGCTGGAGGAATTGGAAAAGCAGTCGCTGAATGGATGATTGAGGGACGTCCGACACAAGAACTCTCTCCATTTTCTATTCAACGTTTCATTGATGTTCACAATAACAGGCAATTTTTAGAACAGCGTGTTAAGGAGGTTGTGGGATATCATTATTCAGTTCCTTATCCGAACAAAGAATATAAATATGGTCGAAAATTGAGATGTTCTCCACTCTATTCTGTCCTTGAACAACGAAGAGCAGTTTTTGGAACCGTCATGGCATATGAGAGAGCTTTGTATTTTGACACAACGCACAAAAGGGGGGGTCCACTTCCAAAGCTCACTTTCTCTTCTTTCTTCAAGCCAAAGTTCTTTGAGTTTCTTCAAAATGAATATCATGCATGTCGTGACACTGTCGGTGTGATTGACATTTCTTCTTTTTCGAAAATTAAAATAAAATCTTCAAACACTGAAGATGTTGTATCTTATCTTCAGAGAGTTTGTTGTAATGATGTTGATATCCCCATTGGAACGTGTATAAAAACTGGAATGTTGAATAGAAATGGCGGTTATGAAAATGAATGTATCATCATTCGTTTGACTGACAATAGTTTCTTCATGGTATCACCATCAAGTCAACAAACGCGCATTTATGAATGGATGGAAAACCATTTGCCATCTACGAGTTCTTCGATTAAACTTTCAGATCAAACATCAATGTATACGGTGATTAATGTTATTGGTCCGAAGTCTTTGATGTTGATGTCAGAGTTGTCAAATTCTGATGTTGATATTCCACCGTTTCGATATAAAAAAGTAAATGTTGGATATGCCAGTGATGTCATGTTAATGTCTTATACGCATACAGGCGAACCTGGTTATTGCCTTTATGTACCCAGTGAATATGCTTTGCATCTTTATGAAGAAATTATGAAACTTGGAATTGATTATGGTGCTAAAGATTGCGGAACAATGACTCAAAAATTTATGAGAATTGAACGATTTATTCCTTTAATGGGAGATGAATTGAATTCGTTTGTAACGCCTCTTGAAGCCGGTCTTGAAAATCATGTGAATTTTGACAAAGTCAATTTCATTGGAAAAGCTGCTTTAATGAAACAGAAGCAAGACGGGATTAGGAAACGTCTTGTGATGCTTTTACTTGAAGATCACAATATTGATGAAAATCTTTGGGCTTGGGGACGAGAACCTATTTATAGGAACGATGAATTTGTTGGAACTGTGACAAGTGCTGGTTATGGATTTACAAGTGACAAGATTGTTTGTTTAGGTTTTATACGCAATTCCAGTGGCGGAAATGTTTCAGACAATTATATTATGGACGAAAATGCAAAGTATCATGTTGATATTGCTGGCAGACTGTTCACAGCAACGCCTTACACTACTGTACCGCTTTTCTTCGAGCAACAAGAGAAAGAACATCGCACGGCTAGCTCAAGTTATCGTCCGTCAATTATTTTTAATGTCAAGAAACAACGTCAGTGAATTCAAACCCTGACAACTAACAAAAGTGCTTAAAATATAAAATATTTCCTTTTTCTATTAATTATCATGAAAAGTTGTGTGAAATCTTTGTGAGAATTCTTGTTAAATTTTTTAAATAAAATCATGCTTGACTTTTGAAATGACGAGAGTTTTATTTATTTTCTGATCATTTTTTGCCACTTTCAACAACAACATCAACAACGATAAGATATAAATCGATGTTACAAATCAATCAATTTGTATTTAAAGAAAGATATTTTAATTAGGTACTATTATGCAAAATGTTGGGATTTAGTCTTCAAAAATTCACAATTTTCAATGATCTACTTATGAACATTTATAAATTGAACGAAACTATCACAGATGTACATACCTCCATTCTTCTAATTTTTCTGCTACTTTAAAAAATACTTGGAGATATTTTAAAATTGCATGAAGTGATAAACAGCAAATCTGTCATCATGTCCATGGGGGTGAAGGACAACCTTAAAATTTCACACTTTAATATTATCTATTTAAATTCATTAAACAATATTAAAAACAATAAATTCAAAATAGCTTAGAGTGAAAAATTGTGTTATTTTTATTTCCCACAAAAAAAGTAACTAGAATCGCAACAAAACAAACACGTGAGAGATCAGCAGAATCAACTTCTTTTTCTTCCTTTACAACCTTATATCCTTTACAAAGATGTTTTCCAAATAAATTTAAGGATGATGATAATAAAAGCAAAAAAAATTGGAGATGGGCAAGCCTCACATGGGCAAGCTTCAAATTATGCCACAGCATAATTTTAAAGATACTCCGGCCTATGTAGGATTCTAAAATATATAATTTCTCTTACATAATTAAATAAAATATGAAACATAAATGAAAATGTTGATGTTGAGACTCGTCGCACTCATTCAAAGATTTTTGAGAATCAAAGGAAATTATATTACTCACTCATTCACTCACTCACTCACTCACTCACTCACACACACACACACACACACACACGCGCGCACTCACTAACGCCCACGCACCAACCTATCAACCACTCATACCCGTTATTCGTTTAGAATCTAAACTTTAGATCTTTTGCCAAGTCAGATGATCTCGAGATTAGATTAAGATTAGATTTAAATCAGGATTAATTTGGGGTCAATTTGTATGGCATGTACCTGAAATATTGAGGGTACAGACCCCATTTTCTCAGAATATTTGTCCCCCGATGAGAAACTCATCTTCCCAAAATATTTTCAAGATCGCTTGAGAAATGTGGAAGTTATTACGATTTAAAAAAGTTACATACATACAGACATCCAGAGTTGAAATCCGATGGCGAAAAAAAGTTAATTTTTTTCACTTTTCTCGACGTTTCATGACATTTTAAGCATATTTAAGCAAAAAAAATATTTTGAAAATTTTTACACGGTTTCAGTACGATGGCCCATGTTACCATGTAATGGTATGGGCCGTCGTAATTAGAAAATTACAAATATGTAACAACAGCTGAAGGGACTGGAAAAAAATCTTAAATCGACAGAAAATGTTGTATCTAAGGGTTGTTATATCAAGAGTTGACTGTGGCTATAAGAATACACACAAGCTGTTCTGGAAACTTTTAAGTTGAGTCTGTTGAAAGTTTTGGAGAGTGTCAACAGTTGAAAAAAAGTGTTCACAACTTCAACAATTTTTTGAGAAAATCGCTTCGACGACAACAACTGTCCGTAATTTACCCCTTGAAAAATTCGATATTAGAGACGTTATTTCGATATTCAATATTTGTAAAAAATGAAATGTAGGAATTTGAAATTGAAGATTATAAATTTAAAAAAAATTTCACATTGCTTTTTAATTTCAGTCAATATTAAAAAAGAAAATAAATTTAACGTCTTTCTCAAATCATGTAAAAGCTTTCTCTAAATCACAAAATACTTTTCTGATATCTCAAATCGTCTGTTTAAAGGATCAAGTTATGAATCCTCATCGTAACAAGTCAAAGTTAAGAATAGGCTTGAATAAATCATATAAAGGAAATGTAACGAAAAAACAATCAAATAAGGTAAACTAATAAACTCGTCGCATTTCTTATCAATAAATTTTCTTTTTTTCCGGCACATGAAGATAAATAATTTTCCTTTGGCTGCATTGTCGTGTATGACAGAACAAAAAATATTGAAAAGCAATTCAATGTCGTCTGATGTTGATTTATCATCTGCATCCACATCAAAAACTTCATCAAGCATTACACAAAACAAATTTTTTTTGAAAAAAATAAATCCACCACGTGAGCTCAAAGATCAGGAATTGGCAGAGAAACAATGCACTGAAATGTATGAAAATTTTGATATCGAGGCATTAAAACTATTAGTTAAGGGAAAGAAAGAAACTCTGTTGAAGCTCCAAAGACAAGAAGAAGAAATTTTAGAATTAACAAATCTAACAGAAAGTTGGAAACAAGCAGGTCTTGATGGCCTAGAAATGCTTCGCAAATATGTCAATCCTGAAATAACAATTGAGGATATGTTGAATGACTTTAAAATTCCTCTGAATCTCTTTTTCTGAATTTATTTTAAGTATTATGTAAAAATTCTAAGCACAAATAAACGAATTCAATATTTGTGTGGTCTAATTGGTTTTTCTGGATCAAAAAGTTTTGGATCTTTGAAGAATTGAACGTCCTTAGTAACTGTACCCATCAATACACTTTTTTGAGCTTTGACTATTTCTTGTTCGACTTTCCTCTGCATTTTCTTGCATAACCCAGTAATGTGCCTACCATAAATCCTTCCAGTAAATGGTGATTGAAATTGGGATAGCAACTTGACATTTTTATAATCCGGCGATATTTGGTGTTTGCATAATACACACTGAACTCTTTCTTTGCGAAAAGGATTTTCCATTCTTACTGGTAAATCACTTTCATCTATGGAACTTTCTGTAGATTCTGAGCTGGAAGCTTCCGCAACCGATGATGAGAAACGAAGAAATTCTCTTCGATTTTGATCTAAATAATAAGGAAATTCAATTTCATTTTTCAATTTTCAAAGCATCCAATTCACTTACGCATTATAATTGGTCTTAAAAAGGTTCGGAGAAACATGTTTAACCCTTATTTATTCTATTATTTAGGTATTTAATATTTTGTAAGAAACATTTCACTTATCATGCAAAACAAGGCATTAAACACATAGTAATAAAGTTACTTTTTGTCTGTTTGTAAATAAGAATGATTTTAAAACATTGAACGCACTCAATTTTCAAAGGGCTTTCGCTATGCATTTATACATAACCTGGTATTGAAACCCTGTGTGTAAAAGAAGTTGAAATTTAATTTATTTAAATACTGTTTAAATACAAAAAATAATGGCTAACAAGATAAATTTAAATTATGAAGATGATTATGAAGTATCAAATTCTGAAGATGAATACACAGAACATCAAAAAAAACTTCTGAAAAAAGCTCGGAAAGGAAAAAAACAAGAAAGCGATGAAGAAGAAATTTTTGGATTTGATGAAGAGAGTTCTGAACCAGAAAAGTTTGAAGCTGAAAGTGATATTGAAGAGCAAGCTGATGATTATGATGATTACCTTCCAGACGAAAGAGCTTGGGGTAAAAAGAAATCAAGTTTTTACAACACTGATTTTCATGACAAAGATTATCGCGGATACACCGAGCAGGAGGAAGAAATCGCAAATCAGGAACAAGCTGAAGCTCTTCAAATTCAAAAGCGTTTAGCAACAGAACTTAATGATGCTGATTTCAATCTTGACATGTTTGCACTTCCTGAAACACAGCCAACAGTTGAAAATGATCCAAAAATCAAGAAAACCAAAACTGATTTGTCCGATTTGAGCAGGAAGCAAAAGTTAGCTTTATTCAAAACAGAAGCTCCAGAATTTGATCAACTGACACAAGATTTTGATGAAAGATTCTCTGAAAGTAAAGAAATGCTAATTCCAGTATTAAATCTCATCAAATCGTTTAATCTACCGACTCATCCATTATTTGACTTCATTGAATGTAGAAATGAGCTGAATCTCAATTATTGCACAAACATTTCATTCTACCTGATGCTTAAGGCAAAACGAACAAAAGTTCATAATCATCCAGTTGTCAAACGTCTTATTCAATTTCGTCAACTTATTTGTCAACTCGATGATATTTACGAATATGTCGTAAAACCTCAACTTGTTATTCTTACCAACGAAGCCGAAAACAATGATAAACGTGAAATTCTTGAAAATCTTAAGAAACGATTAGATGATACAGAAGTCTGTGAAGGTGGCTCAGAGGAAGGAGATGAAGTCGTTCAACCACTTTTCACTCACAAGTATTCATCAGAGAGCGAAGAAGAAAAAGAAGAGGAAAATAATATGGAAGTTGAAGCTGTGAAACGCGAAATTACAAGACAAATTGCTAAGAATAAAGGATTAACAGCAACGAAAAGAAAAGAATTACGCAACCCAAGAGTTAAGAATAAGATGAAGTTCCGGAAGGCAGTCATTCGTCGCAAGGGTGCTGTAAGAGAAGTGAAGTCGAAAGTAGATCTTTATGGTGGAGAAACATCCGGTGTGAAGACTCATCTTAAACGAAGCATAAAACTGAAGTGAAAACAATTTAATCTTATGTATATTGGATGTACATTTAATCTTTTTACTTGTAAGATGAAAATATATTTGAAAGCAATTAAAAGAAAAATATTTTCATTATTAATTAAGTATTAGTAGAGATTATTTCATTATCATTTTTCTGAAGTCGTCATTTGACATAGCAGGAGTTGAAGATAAAGTTTTCGTATCTGCAGCAGATGCTTTCTGAACTGAGGCTGGAATGAATGAAATTCTTGATTTTTGTTCTGTTTTTTGTGTTGCTTTACGCGATCCACTGAAACTGCTGACATTTGTCTTTGCTTGAGGATGTTTGTCTACAGGTGGGGGTGCTGAAATTGCAACTGAGAGTACACGATCCATGAATTCCTTTTGATCTAGCTTCATGACTGCTGTTGATGCAGATTTATCATTATCGTACACTATGTAAGCTATACCTTTTGACTTTCCAGCTCTAAAAAGAATAAATTAATATTTTTTTTTTGTAATTAGAAATAACTTATTAAAGTTTCAAATTTAATTTAATTTAAGCACCAGCCTTTTTCCTAAAGCTTTAATCTTAATGTTTCATTGAATTTTAAATTAATTAATTTTGTATTTTAAGGGAATTAAAGATATAGCTAGAGTTGTATTAGAATCAGAAAAATTATAAAAACTGATATTTAGAAATTAATAAATGTTACCTCTTAATGATAAGTTTTCTAAAAACTTACTTATTAGTTACTATGCGGACATCTTTAATTGTTCCAAATTCTCCAAAGAGTTTTTTCAGATCTTCATTTGATGCTTCAAACGAAATTCCTTTAACAAAAACTTTGTTCGGTTCTAATGTGCTTGAATACTTAAATCCTGATTCACGACTTGTTTTATCTCGTTCACATCTTGAAATAAAAACAGGGCGACCAGCAAGCATTCGACGATCCATTGACAATGCTTTTTTAACATCTTCTTCGGAGGAAAGTTCCGCGTAGCTAATTTAATGGAAAAATGTTTTTAGGTGTTGAAAAAAAAGAAAAGTTTAAATTATTACCCAAAGCCACGACTTTTTCCTTTTCCAGTTGTTATGACATTGAAACTAATAATTGTGATTTCTGGGAAGGCTTCCTTGAGGTCATCAGTAGTCACATTATAATCCAAATTACTGAAAAACACTCGAACATTGTCTTTCGACAAATCAATGTCGCCATTTTCATTCGATTCTTTAGGTTTTGAAATCGACATTTTCTTGAACTCTTCTTTGCTAACTGATGTGGCCTCTTTCATCTTCTTGTTCTGATGTTGACTATCATCTTCAGCCTTTCTTTTTCCATCCTTCTTTGCTTCCACTTTACGTTTACCACTTTGATGTTTCTTTCGATTTTGACGAAGCATCTTCTCACAAGTCTCTTGACAAAAGCGAATGTGACTGAGTGATCCAAAACACCTTTCGAATCTAATCCAACTGTAAATCAATGTTGACATGTCGTTTAAGTCTGGAACTTTTGAAGCTCTCTTGTAAATGAGTCGAGCGCCTTCTGTGCCTCGGAATTTCTGTTCCATTGCTACAAATTCAAGCCATAATCCAGTCTTCGTGTAGTTATCATTACTTTCCATCACGGTGTTCCATAATTGCTTTCCTTGATTTCCATCCTCAAATTTTTCGTACTCCACGCGACCCCAAAACTTGAGAATTTCACATTCACAGTCAGCTAAATTTCCATACTGCCATCCCAAAGTGTTCCATGCCAGATTGAAATTCTTTCTAAGAACTTCTTTCTCATCATTGTCTTGGAAGTTGGTGACACGAACAAGATATGATAAATATTCAAGCCAAACTTTCACTACCGGTTCAGCATTGTTATATTGAATCGCACATGCTGTTTCAAGGATACTTTGAATGTCTTGTCTCGATTTTTTATTCTGCTCAAAAATACGCATTTTTTCAATGTAGAGATCAGCACTCCAACTGCAGTTACGCAAGCCTCTCGTCACGATATCCATATCAGATTGACGGAAAATTTTTGATTTATTTGAATCCATTGGAGTCCAGTCTTTCGATCGATTTTGAATGTAGCTTAGATATTCCTTCCAAACAGACTCATTTAAACAACATGCTGTTATCATTCGTTCATAGAGTACTTGAACATATTCTTCCTCTAATTCTTCAGCACATTCATTAATATAGGTTTTGAAAATGTCGACACGTTCTTGATGCGATTTGGCTTCCAAGTGCGACAGCTTTTGTTCAAATGGCATAACTTTTTGAAGGATGGTTTTTGTAGTTTTAAATTCACTGTCGATTGAATCACGGTCAAAGTTTGGTAACATACTTTGACACTTTTCTATGAATTCTCGAAATTCATTGTATGACAATTGGATCTGATTGAGCGGCAACAAAAGTTCTTCTTTGAATCGCTTTATTATTTTTTTCAGTTTTTCCGGTGAATCAGGCTCTCGTCGTATATAATCATCTCGCCATGCTGCCCACATTAAACGTCCTTTTGAATATTCATATCCGTATGCTGGTAAAAGTTGTTCCCAGATTTCTCGAGCTTTCGTATTATTACATCGAGAAGCCAGAATTGCATATTCCAATGCAACATCGACACTGTAATAATCGTTTAGAGCTCGTTCAAATAAATTTTGCAATTCATCGATTTCCTCTTCACTTTGAGCGACTGCGGCTTCTACTTTCAAATACCTTAACCAAATCTCAGGAGAAAGTGGAAATGCTTGGGAAAATAATTCAATACTTTGTCGAATTTTATCTAAATCTGTTAAATCGTGTGCAATATCTACCTGAATATAATAAATCAGAATGGTGTAAACTTCAGACTTTATTATTAAAAATGTAAACTTACCAATAGCACATAATCATCATAATTGCTTTTGTTTAATTCAATTCTTGCCAAAGCATCGACAAAGTTTTTTGTCAACTTTAACTCTTCATCGAATGATTCTGAACTACTATCGTCTTCCTCTTCTTCTTCTTCTTCTTCCTCTTCAACAATAGAGTCTTCCATAGATTCATCTTCGCTCATTATAAACGATTTATAATATTAAACGTCTTAGATTAAAAATTTGTATCCTTAAACAAAACGCCGATGTTTAATCTATTGTGAAGCTGAGCGTCAGTTTATAGTAGTTTAGTACCCCTTATACTATGTTTCAATTTCTGAGCAGACCGATTTCAGTTTTTCATACGATCCTCAGGAGGAACCACTTCCTCCGAGATTTCCGATTAATCAGAAAATTTTGTCAACAGAAGAAGCTGTATAAAACTATATTATTATGGCAGATTTCTCCCATCTTGTGACTTCAAAAGTTAACATCGGTCTTGTTCAAGAACTGGCATGTAATGAACTTCTTAATATACTTGATAAATGTGAAGGAACAAAGGTAAATAACAAGAATTTATTTTATATTTTCAGAACAGATTATTTATCTTGTTTTTAATCTGTATAGGTTTTAATGTGGGATGAATCTCTAACAGGTCCAACAAGTCTAATTGCTAAGCCATCGCTTCTAAAAGAGCGAAACGTTGTAAAAATGTTTCCAATCAAACCTGGCGATTTACCAAATGTCGAAGTACGAAATTTTATTTTCATAACTAGACCAAATTTACAACTGATGAATGCAATCGCATCAAATATCCATAGCGAAGAGCGAAAAAGTAAAGTTTATTCTAAGAATTTTCATCTTTACTTCATGCCAGCCAAGTCGCTCCTTTGTGAAGATCAATTAAAATTGAAAGGCGTCTTGGGATCATTTCAAGTAATTGATAATTTCAAATGTCAGCTGTTTCCGTTTGATAGTGATGTCGTTTCTATGGAGTATTGTGATGCATACAAAGAGCTATATATTGAAGGAGATCTCACTTGTTTGCACCAATCAGCAGCAGCTCTCTGCACATTACAAAAGCTTTATGGAAAAATCCCGAAGATTGTCGGCAAAGGAAGATTTGCTGAAAAAGTTAAGGAGCTTGTGAAAACAATGACATTTAATGAGAATGTTGGAGGAAACGACAAAGGTTCCATTGATCAACTGATTATTTTAGACAGATCGATAGACATTTTAAGCGCTCTCGCAACTCAACTCACTTATGAAGGTCTCATAGATGAATTCTATGGAATTAATAATACAACAGTGTCGTTTCCGGCAGAAAAATTTGCTTCACCATCCGAAGATATTAATTTTAGCAGAGTAGCTACGTCATCTGAAAAGAAACAAATTATGTTAAATTCTAGAGAAGAATTATATGTTGAGCTGCGTGATAAAAACTTCAACGCTGTAGGAAGAGTCTTGTCGAGATTAGCTAAATTTATAACGTCTGCTGCTAATGAACGTCACGGTGAGAAAACAATTCAAGAGCTGAAAAAAATTGTTGAAACTCTGCCAAAGTTTAAAGCTAACGAAACATCATTTTCAACTCACACAACGATTGCAACTCTCATTAAAGATCACATTTCGCAATATGAATTTCTAGACGAATTGTCATGCGAACAGCATTTCATGATGTGTGTTGATTTAGATAAATCAAATGATTACATCGAAAACATGATTTACAAACAAAAACCAATTGAAAAAGTTTTGAGATTGATATGTATGCAGAGTGCCGCTGGAAATGGGTTAAAGCAAAAGGTTTTGGATAGCTACAAAAAGGAAATCATTCATTCATATGGAATGGATTCTCTTTTAAAATTAGGAAAACTTGAGAAATCTGGATTGATAAGAATACAGTCAGGAAGTCGTTCATACAATATTTTAAGGAAAACCCTTAATCTAACAGTCGAGGATTTTGAAGATTTTCAAGAAGTTACTCCAAAGGATATCAGTTATGTTCACAGTTTCTACGCGCCACTTTCCATCAGAATTATTGAGCATTCAATGAAACCTTTAGGTTGGAGTGGCCTCAATGATATTCTTTCATGCATTCCAGAACCATCTTTTGAAGACTACCAGATGACAAACATTTCATCATCGGGAAGAAGAGATTCACTAGTCAGTGAGATATCACAGTCAGATATACCCAAAGTTATTTTAGTTTTCTTTATTGGTGGATGCACTTTTGCTGAGATTTCAGCATTGAGATTTCTCTCACAACAAGAGGAAAATAATGTGGAATTTGTTATAGTGACAACAAAAATTATTAACAAGAATACATTTATATCAAGTATAATTAACCAATAATGCAATGAACATATATTCATATAATATGCTTAAGTTTATGTTGATATAAATACCTAAATAAACGAAATTTATAACGGAAAGAAAAACTTTAAATTTCGCTCAGCTTTTAGTTTTGTTTACAAATTTTTTCTGAATGCAATATACAGTGAAACTTTGATAAACAGATATTTCAAGGGACACAAAAAATTATCTGTTAATCGAGGATATC